CATAAATCGCTGTGGAAATAGAGGGTCAAACGTGATATTACTCTTCTTAGCTTTTCAAACTGTCTACAACCAGGATGTTTCCAGGTTGCTGAGGACAAATGCCAGCTGTCGGTTATTTGGGCTGTTAGTGCCAATTTCCTCCCAGAGCCATCATTAAACACCTGGGCAGCAGAAATCAGCCTGGGGTTCTCTGTCTTGTAGCAAGATTCTGGCTAATGACTGACCAAGCAAGATTGGAGGCTCCTCTGCTTTATGATGGTGGGAGTAGGCCTTCTACTCAGGCCCAAGTGGTGATGATCCAGAGCCATAAATCAAAACAGGAAAAGACCAGATATCATTTGATTTGATAGACCCAAATGGATTAAGGGATTCTTTTAAAGTTACATAGCTAGCTAGCCAGTGGCAGAACTCGGAGAATACCTTGGTCTTTTAACTCTAATTTCAGGGACTGTTTGTATTGGTGTAAGGATTTTTAGACCTTTGAACTGCTCACTAGACTTGCATTTTGCATACAACATTGGATAGGAGACTTTACCATTACATGTCTCATTGAACCTAGTTACTCGTTAGGAAATAGAGATAAGGTGTTCCTTATTTGCTTCACAAGGTGACCTCCCATCCCAAGTACAAGCCATTTGCATGTATATCCATTTCTTTCTCCTTCCCCATTTCAAAGAAAGATGAAGATGTGACTCCTACTCCTTTTTCAGGGTTGACTTTCTGTGCTATTCTCTCCCCGTTAGCCCAAGGAACCTCGCTTCCTTTCTCCTAAGTACCGTCTTGCACTCTGGGGAGTGTAAACTTCTGGAAGGTAGAGGCAGTTTTATTTGTTATTGCATTTATTTGCATCTGGAATATAGTAGATGATTTTTTATTTTATTGAAATATAATTGAGATAACATTTAAATGAACAAATAACTTACGAGGTAATATATCAGAATCCTTCTCAAAACGATACTATACGTGTATATATATTTTTATGGTCATGTGCTCATATATGCATATATATGAGTTAAGACCATCTCTCAACCTGTTGCCGAGTATTTGTCTCTGGGAAGGACACCCTAACTCCCTGCCGCGTCCTCTCTGCAGGTAAGCAGCAGTATAAAGTTTAAGGCTCTGGGAGGGAGAATAGTTTCAGTAAATGGACAAGGGTAATAATAAAACTGGGGAGGAGACAACAGTAGTTTCTGTGAGAAATTAAAATAACTGAGTTAATAGGCACAGACTATACAAGTGGAAAGAACCTCAGTTTCAGTTCATTCCATAAACGGCAAAGATTAAATTCACTGGTCTATTTCCCTCAAGTACTCTATTTCTGATTTGGAGCCTATGAGTTCTAAAACTCTCCTCTGAAATGCTAATTCACTGGTTACTTAATTTTTCTCTATTCTTTTATCTTTGCGTTTAGGAGCTAGGAGAGCTTCTGAAGCCCTGAAAAATAATCTCTGGGCCCAGATAAGGGTCTCTAACCTATGATTTGAACTTAATCAGTATTCAAAATGGTTTAGTTTAGAATCTAAACTTTAGAGCAGTGTGTTAAAATTTTAAATGTGCATATGTGTCACCTGAGGATCTTGTTCCACGTCAGATTCTGGCCCTGGCCAGTTTGGCTCAGTTGTTGGAGCATTGGCCCACAGACCAGTGAGTCGCGGGTTCGATTTCTGTCAAGGGCACGTACCTTGGTTGTGGTTCGTCCCAGACCCTGGTCGGGTCATGCAGGAGGCAATCAGTCGATGTGTCTCTATCACATCAATGTTTCTCTCTCTCCCTCCCACTCTAATGATAAATGGAAAAATATCCTTGGGTGAGGAATAAAAAAAAAAAAATGGGAAAGAGTAAAAGTCAGATTCTGATTCAGTAGGTCTAGAGTGAGGCCCAGTGTTCTCATTTCTCACAGGCTTTCCACTGAGGCCAGTGTTGCTGGCCCACAGATCTGACTTTGGGTAGCAAGCATTTAGAAGAGAGAGCTTAAGAGTGGGAGGTCTTCCAAAGTTAACTGCTGTTTCTTTGGCCTGGATCTGTGGTTACTTGGATAGCAGGTCTGAATCCAAGGCCTTGGCTTGGAGAAAGAAAACCCTGTGAGAAATCCTTCTACTGTTTCCCAAATAGTGCATCACATCTTGGGAGTCCTAGAGAGAATGCATTATAACAGTAGAGTAACCAATATTTGTGCAGATGTCTTGGCGTTCCATTTGGTGATCTTTCTAGAAGGCAAGCAGGATAGTAGTCATTAAAGTTTAGATATATTTTCATGAGTGATTAAAACCAGTTAGGCTTACATGGATAAGTCCAAAAATCTGAAAAAAATCACTTATGAGGAAATCTTCATTCCTGGAAGATAAACACTTCACTGCAGTACCTTGTGAATAGGTTTTTTGAGCTATCATCTGCCACTTGGTATCTTTGGCTCAACCAGCAGTAGCATTCCAGGTTGCTCTACCAGTGAGGAGGATACATGGAATCTGCTGTTGTCATTGAATCCTGTCTCCATCACTTACTGGTATCGAGAACTTCGGCAAGTTTTCAATTTCCCTGTGCCTGTTTTGTTATCTGTAAAATAGTCATAATGCCATTTCATCCCAGGATTTTTAGAAAAGATAGGCAAAAACTTTTGGCATAGTTACTATCCTTTCACCGCTATTAGTTCCACCCCCTGCTTTGATTCTGGGTGGCTACTTGCTGTTTGGCTACCTCTCGCCTGAACATCTTTGCTGGCTTCTTTCTGTTGGTAAGAGCCATTGGGAGGTATTCAGATTTTCGTACACTTTTGTAATTTACTGGAGCTTATAAAGGGATGGGAGCAGATATTCTTGACTTCTCAGAATAGATCAGAAGAGTTTAGTTGAAGCTTTTTCACAAGGCAAAAACAGTGGTAATAGATTAGTCTATATACACATTTATGTTAAAAACACACACATTTAAAATTTGTGTGGGAATAATAGTGATCAGTGATTTGCCCCTGGGTCTCCTGTCTAAAAATGGTCGTAATTTTAGACTACTGTGTGCTGTTGGGTAGGCTCCTTTGGCTGAGGCAGTGATAAGATTTGGTCTGAGCCTTCCCAGTTTAGTAAGGGTGTGGCTGGTGTTCAGTTTCCTTTGTCCCCAGTAACAGTAGAATTGCAATGGCCTTGGTCTGGAGAGTGTGGTTTGTCCTTGGTTAGATCAGACACACCCATATAATACTTGGCTTTTCTTCACTCTTGCTTCCCAGCTCTGCCTACCTCCTAACTCTGGATATTTATTTTTAAATGCAGTTTTTGGAAATGAGTGTTCAGTTGCTGCTCTTTACTTGTTCCTGTACGCTTCCCATCTCTGAGCTTTTGTTTATTCCCTAGCCTGCTGTTCTCTGCTAAAACTTTATCAAGACAATCTGCAAGACTACTGATTCATTACTCAGCTTTGACTTCTCAGAAATAAGACTGCTTGGTATTTATGGGCCTTACAGTGTTTGCTACTCAGGTCTTAAACTCTTTGACCTTGTTCTGTAAGCTCTGAAAATAACATATGCTATATAAAACTAATAGTAACATATTCATATGTAGTATTACTTTAACTTTTTAGTCCCCATAACTGAAGCTAAATCTAACCAGTGACCCTGATTTAGGAGTTCCGTTTCCAAGTTGCTGCTAACTTGCTGGGTTTCTTTAGGCAATATTTAACCACACTCCCTAGGCCTAAATTTACCTTAACCTGTAAAATTAGGATTGAATTAGATAAGAGCTTTTCAAACCATTGTGGTTTGTTGGGGTGGGATGGGAATGACAAGGAAGCTCACTGGGTTGGACTCCAGGCTCATTCAATCAGTTGATCCTACTTTTGTTTATATATTAAACTTTTTGCTATTAAAGTTGGAAAACCACTGAATAAGATGGTCTGAGATTCGCCGCAGCCTTGGCATTCTGTGCTCTCTCAAGCAATAGCATTTACTTTTCGATTACATTAGACGAGGACACTTAAGCTGTTTCACAAATAGGTCCAAACTCATGATGGCACTCAACATCTTCTGCAGTCTGGTTCAGGTTCTTCTCACCAGAAATTGGGGCTGGCCTCCCAGTGCTCCTGTCTGCTTCTGCTTCTACTTTTCACAGCAGCACACCTATTTTTTTGTAGGCCTCCTTTCCCCATTCAGTCCTTCTCAATCTTCAAAAGACTAGTGTTTACAAATGTCCTATCCTATCAAGAAACCTTGTTAGTTTGTCTGACCCTGTGGACGAAAAGGGATCATGTAGTAAACCTAGCAAGCTGAGGGGAGGCCTGTGTATTACAGACTTGGGGACTTAAAATAACCACAAAGGATGGTCTGAAATGAAAACTTTAATTAAAAGCAGTTTATGGTGGGTAGTCATGTCCTAGGCTAAAAAAAAAAAAATCTTCCCTGACAAAGGTCAATTTTCACCTTAACTAAGCCTGAATGTTGTCTTTTTGCATCTACAATTGCATCCCTTTGGATTGTCAAAGTAATTTCCTTTTTCCGGTCCCATCAAAGCACAAGACACCATTTTGTGGAGACAGCAAATCCCCTCACGTTAACTATCCTGTACTGCCCACCTATGTAAAATGGCTATCATTTTATCCAATCCCAGAGGTTTCCCCGCTTTGCTTCTCCTGCCTCCCTAATCGACCACCAGTGGATTTCATGAAACTCACTTATGAGACTCCTCTTTGTAACATGTAAAGGTGCAAAACTGCCCTTCTCTGGAGCAGTTTTTCTCAGTCCATTGCTATTTTGTTTCCTGGCAGCTGTCAGTTTGGCTCAAATAAACTCACAAAAGTTCTGTACAGGTTTGAATGTATCTTACATCGACATCCCTGTCATCCCAAAGGACTTTCATTCCACTTCGGTGGCTGAATACTTTGCCTTTCTTACATTTGTTGTATGTATGTGTAAAGAGGGGCAGGATCTGTCTCTTCCTTCTAATCACGCAGTGCCTAGCCTTGTAGTTTTCTGATAGTGCCATGGATCCATCGAAAGGCTCAAAAACTCTTTTCTCTTTCAGGATCGAATCATCAATTTAGTTGTTGGCAGCTTAACATCCTTATTGATTCTAGTAAGTATCTTTATTTTGTGTTTCACCCAGGCTCTCAGCCAGTGTTGAAAACTTTAGGATTATGGTTCAATTAACTCTCAAAAAAAAAAAAACTTAAGAGGCCAGTGTATCAGCATGTGAAGTATTCTAGTCATAATTACATTAAGGCTTTCAATTGTATTACCAGTTAAAATTGCAGTGGATAACTGGAGTAGCTAAATTGATTCCCACCCTCATCCTCAGTTGAATACATGAAACAGTACCAAGTCCAATAACTTACTTTCTGAGTTTGCCTAGTCAGTAACATGTCAGTGGCTACCAGCAACTCCCTTCTGTACATAACCTACAACTCCCCATTTTCCCTAATACCTTCAGTTTATTTTGTTCCTTAAGGCACATTCATCATACTTTGGTTTAAAATGATTTGGTCAGCTTATAGTAATTTTTCATCCTGTATAATATAGGTTGGTGCAATCACAATAAAATTTAAAAAATGGAACTCTATTTCACATAGTCTGAGAATGACATTTCTGTGGCATATTTTCATTAAATGTAAGAAAATGTTAGGGAAGTTTGTTCCCGTGACTTAACATAAAAGAATGGGTACATTGCTGTAGTTGTGTTAGAAAAAGAACTCTGTAGGACCTTAGAAACCTCTTTCAATGTTTTTCAAAATTTTAAGCAAAAACAGTTTGGTTTTATTTTTTTGTTGGAGTATTCAAAGTGACAAAACAGAACTTTTCCCAATGTAATTATTCATTCTGGGAATGAGGCTGAAATGCTTTTTAATCTTTGTTAATGAAGAGGTTAGCTAGTTTTACTGCTCTATGGTTTGTCTCCTTTCATAAAGGAGGAAAAGGTTAGAAAGAAAGAGGTACTAAAAGAAGTAACACAGTCAAGCATATTTACAAATATTTTATTAACCATTACATTACATTAAATTAACATTCCATAAGGCAAATCTGGTGGTAAATACCATTTTACAACGTGAAGCATTTGATAATATTACATTGCCTTGACTCCAGTCTAAGCAAGTCTTGGAATTACTCCTAAGTCCTGACAATTTCTCTTCATACAGGTAACGCTGATCAGTGCTTTTGTTTTCCCTCAACCACCTCCAAAACCATTGAATATATTTTTTGCTGTCTGCATCTCTTTGAGTAGTATTACTGCCTGCATACTTGTGAGTACTGTTTAGAATTTAAATTGAATGTCCTCGAGGGCTGAAGGCTGCAGTGCCTAGGACGGATTCTCAGCCCTGGGTCTATGTGAAAGGGCGTCTCTAATTACAACCCCCAAACCCCCAAGGATGTCAGAATTCTCAATATTAATTGTAGGGTTTTCTTTTTAAACCTGAGTTTCTTTTTTCTTAAATCCCAAGTTGTAACCCTGAAGGGGAACTCCCCTTGATAGCTAAAAAAAAAATGGAAGGAAAGAAATAGTTAAAAAGACTTAGGTGGCCAAAGATTTGTTGTAATTTACTTAATTCATCTTCCATACATACAGGACCCAACAGGCTTTGGGGGAATGTCATGACTACTCTGACGGGAAAAGATACAGCACTAACACTCTGGATTTATTTCTAATCATCACAAAATTAGTCTGTTTAATCTCTGTGCTTATCTCCCCAAGTGAAAGTGCCATGGGTGTAATTCTTCACGGGAACCTAAAGCTGCAGTGATATCCTTGTCACAACAATGTTCCATTTTACTACAAAGACACTTTTCTTTTAGGTCAACAAAGATATGGTGGTAGATCTCAGCTGGGTATTTGCCAAGTGTTCAGTCATTCATTAGTTGGTTACTGTTTTATTTCCTTTGATGAGAGGCAGAATCAGAACGGAGTAAACCCCTTAATAAGCAATTGTTTTGATTTACATAGGGCTTGACTCATGAATAGCAATGTGCTTATTTAAGTTAAAATTAAACAGGATCTCCAAGCTTCTAATGCACTGAGTCTGTTATACCTGTGACCTGAGGGAAGAATCGGGCCATCCTACTTTAGGAGACTTTGGAACAAAGTACCACAGATGCTCTTATCCTACACCCAGCCTGAGGCCAGAGTGACTAACAAGTGATCTAGTTTAAACCAAATACATGCATATGTAAGTCCAATTTGGTACTGGCAGTCTTAATGTTATATGAATTAAAAAGCTGTGGTCCCTTCCAGTACCTAAAAGAATTCTATCTTTTACTCTGATATTACAGGGGTTGGCAAAAGTAGGGTTACACTTGTTTGTATTGGGGGGGGGGGAGAATAAACACTGTTTCACATCTTCACAGCTGTAGACCTACTTCTGCCCACCCTGCATTTAAAAATATATCCAAAAGGTACATATTTTTTTGGATGGCTTGCCAAATGATAGGTGGATGCTGTTGATTTGAACACAGAACACAAATTAACTCAGCAAGCAGGAATAGTATGGTTTTAGATGTGGAAACTCAGTGGTACTACTTGAATTATAAAGTGTAAGGATGAAATTCTGGCCGCATTAAGTCTCAGGAATGTAGACTAATATAAGACTGTCAATTAGGGGAAAAATAATTAGTTGTATTTTAAATAACTTTAATTTTAAACAATGGCTATTACTTAAATTTTTATTTAATTCTTCTTCTTTTAGATCTACTGGTATCGACAAGGAGACTTAGAACCGAAATTTAGAAATCTAATTTACTATATCTTATTTTCTATCATCATGTTATGTATATGTGCGAACCTGTACTTCCATGATGTGGGAAAGTGAGGCTGCCAAGGAGAAAATACTTACCAGGTCTCTTCAAAGCTATACATTAGGACTGTGAATAAAGCTGGATAAAGTATGCTGAAGAATCTCCTGCAGAAGTCTGATACATGATTTTCATGTTAATTGTAAATCTAAATTCCCTCTTGCAGGGGAGACATATCATAGATCACTCTGCTTTTTTCTTTAAGGAGCTGATGTTGCACTTCAACATTCCAATCCTTAAAGCTCCAACAGCACAAGTAATTTTCACTTTTGAAACTGAAAATTTTTATAATGTAATTGCATGGCGAAAGGCTATGTTAACAAACAATCTTACATTTTAAGACAAATATTCTTTTATTTCTGTTAAACTGAATATACAATTATTGTTCCCTAGGCCACCAACTCTTGCTTATAACTACAATTTAATTTCACATTAACAAAACACAGATGGTGAAGACAATTTGATTGTGAAGATCTAATTACAATAATAAATAAAATAATTTATACAAGGTTGTTTTTTTTTTTTTGTTTTTTTTTTAACTTTTCCATAGGAGTCATATGTGTTAAAGCTTTAAGAGGCTAGTTTTGGTTTGACCTTCTCTAGTATAGGAATGACTCGATTTGTTTCATTTCATAACAGAAGCAAATTTTGTTTTGTAAAATTGCCCGAGAGGGAGAAATTTTATCATACCCTCACCAGCTAATGCACTAAGTGAACAGCAAACTCTGTACCCTTCTTAATTATTTTCTGGGTAATTTATATCGCAAAACACAGAAGAAACGGTCACGGTATAGGACAGGGAAGTTTACTTTTTTCCCATTTAGTTTTACTTAAAAGTGCTAATTTTGTAAACTGATGACAATGGGTTCTAAAGGAGTAAAAACTCTGTGAGTTTTGATACTACCCTCATCATAGTCCCTTTAAAAGTAATAATAAAAAAAAAAAATGTAGTGAATATTTTTAACTCTTAATGCTTTCCTCTCTACCCAGCTTGAATCACATCCCACTGCCAGCAATCAGTAACCAAAGGTAACTGCCATACAATCACCTCTAGGTCTGTATCCTTATATGCTGGTCAAGTCTCAAACTAATGATAATCTTTTGAAGGTTACTGGTAAGCACCACACCATGTAGATGTGACCTGCGAAATATAAACAGGCCTACCTGGGACTGAATAGAGACTCATATCTGATCTTCAGAGATGAATATTACCACTTTTAAAACAGATTAAACTTTGGTGATTTTAAACTTTGCTCAGTGGCTGATGTGAATGAAATTCCCTGCTAGGAGATAGCACTTATCACAGGGATCTATGTAGTTAAGACCCCCTCATACTCCACTCAAATATACTTCCATAAAACTAGACCTCAGATGAATAAAGGAGGTAAAAAGTCATAGCAGCAACACTGTACGTGGCTTAAGCACTGTAGCTATTTAAAAGCCAGAGGAATGGTAAGTTAAGCCTCTTGGGGGTTCCTCCTATTTCTTTGGGGATGTAATTAACAGTGTGGCTTCTTTGCCTGAACTACCTGTTTCTAAGAATTACCTAATGACAGTTTACCAAATCTTCAGCATCCTTTGAATCTTCTGAAATAGGACTGCCCAAAGAGGACCCAATGATATTTGATTCTTCTCGATGATGTTGGAGTATGGGATCTGTAATGAGTAAGTTTCAAGTTAGTCTTAAATGTATATAATGTATGTAATTCCCTAATTCATGTCCAGAATTTTAGAGTATTCTACCAAAGTGCAAAATTTAACAAGAAGACTAATCTTTATCGTTGGATACAGAAAGACGAAAACAACTCAATTACATATGTGACTGATTTTTCTCAAGAGATGGAGTTGTATTATAGTACCTGTTAGTGTTGTCAAAGGCAAGACAGATTCCGTATCTATAACATCAGATGCCTGGATAAAGCCATGTGGTGAAGGAACAATAAGTATTGTTTCATCATCAATTGTTGTTTGGGCAACTTGTTCTTCTATAGTAGGAGACTCTAAATCCTAAATAATAATTTAAAAAAATGAGATTCCGACTCATAGTCCTTTTTCGTATTCCTTAAGATCCCAAATATGTTTAGGTTTTAATTCTAAAATACCTCATTTTAAAATTAAAATATAAAGTAATGCAAGTTAAGGTCTTAAAATGGACAAAAGTAGTAACTTCATATTCTTAATGTACTAAATATTAACAAAAAAGAACATAAAAGAACCAATTCAATTAAGGGTCCCTGAATATAGAACAATGCTGTTCTGTGGCATGAGGTTCCTAAACTAAACCACAAAGATCTATTTAACCACCCTCAGGAAAATGCTTCCATGGGTTCCAACAAACATTTTCAAGAGGAAGCTTTTAGTGAGGAATGGGGCAAGACAGATCACCACTACTGGGTGACTGATACCTGTGAGGTTAGAGGTGGGGGTTTGCACTTATTTTGTGTCTAAAGAAAAAAGGTACTACAGAATATCACCCCATAAATTATTTCTAGGTTCTTTCCAAACTGCAGGTTTGAAGCTCAGGCAAGAACCAATAGGCTGTTCACATAAGTGCAACTTACCTCAGTAACATAAGCACAGGCTAAATGAGAGGGTGATTCCTCCTCTTGTTTAAGGTCTTCTTCTGTTCTGACCATAACACTATTCATCAGTTCTGTGCTATTTTGGTCACTGAATTTGGATACACGAGCATCATTAAATGATGGCTCTACAGTCACCTTAGGTTGATGAATTTCATCTGGAAAAGTATCTGCTTCTAGGGCATCTGGAGGCTCAGGAAAATCAGATGAGTGAATATCACTGTCTACTGTCAGTTCTGCTTGGGATATGGAAGAAGTGATGTCCTCTGTGGCAACTGTCTGAATGATGACTCTTGGTGTGTGACACTGCACTGTAACATTGTCACTTGTGTTCAACAAATGCTCTGGCTATAAAATGTTAAAAAAAAAGTCAATGGCAAAATGAAAAAGTACCTATCATATTCAAGTTACAGGCAACAAATGACATTTACAGATGCTAATATAGGCTACGGTTCCCCCACCTCACCTCTGGAACTGCAGTGTTCTTATCACAATTTTTCTAGAAACACTATTTTTTGCCTACACATGCCTTTTCTTTCCTAATGTCCCTATTTGCCTAATGTAATTCCACCACATGTAAGGAGACATAGAAAGTGAAGAATTTAGCCCAGTGAAGGCAGAATGAAAATGTAAAACATTGCTTCTGGGACAACAGCAAGTAGGAAGAATTGTTTAAATAACGGACTGTATTAATTTTGGCTCTTAGATTTCATATCAACTAATATCTTCGTCCCCAAAAGGTATTCAAATATTTGAACTGAGCTCAAAATAGAACAGACCTCCCCACCCCAAGATCTTGTTATTGAAGGCACATGGGTTCTATCGTAGCATTAAAAACTAGAAAGACATGGTGACACTTGTCAGCCAGTCTTCTCTACAAAAATTAGAAAAATCAAAGAAGTTATGTAAGGTAACATACAGATAAAGCATGAACAATGATCTGTTCAGGAGAAGCAGGAGCAGCAGCCGTCAGGGTTACTGTGGGACTAGCAGTCAGAGTGAGGGGAAGGCCTTGGCTTGAGCTTGTTTGAAGCAGGTAGGTACCTGGAGTCCCAGTGGGCTGTAAATGGAAAGACTAAAAGAAAATGAAAAATAAGATCAAGATAGGTGCAACAGATTATTGAGTTACAGAAGTAGACTTTTTAACTCATTAAGTCCAAGTTTATATCCAGAATGGGGATTGACTTTACTACCTACAAATGTACTTACCAATTGTGTAGGTGTAAACAAATAATAAAAATGAAGGATATATCCTTTACTATTTATTTATCCATCTTAAATCATTACTTGGCCTGAAGTTAAAAAAAAGAGAGGTGAGGCCTTTATCCTGTTCTTCACTTTCTGTATTTCTATGGTCTGGTCTTGTTCCATGGAATGAAACTACTGTTTCCAGTGCACAGTAACCAGCACACTCAATCTTCCTTTGTTTTCCTTCCTCTGTTGCACATAAAAGCTGGTGTTCTCCCAGTTTAGACAGCTTCATATTTTTGAAAAGACACTGCAGCAGTGTTACTACTTGAAAATACTTTTTTCATAGTATGAGTTAGCAAATATTTTTTATATTAAGAGGAAATAACAGAAATAGCAATAGCAGTGTTCTGCTAAAGGAAAAAGAAAATTCCTATTTGAAAAGATGGTAAACAGGCAATACATTACTTTGAGATTACAGAAGTGTAACAGAACTATTCAACACCCATACACCTTTCACAGCCATAAGCTTCAGTATAATAATTTGAGTTCAATTTATCCTAACACTCTAAAGAAAAAGTATTTGGATTTACAATAGAGCTGGAATCATAGAGCCTGTTTAGTTGGGTGCAGTCTTGTGGATCTGAGCCACAACTGCTCTCCTGGGCACAAATTCACTGAATCTAGTTGTCCTTACTGCTAACCTGAGGATAATAACTACGTACTTGCTCATGGAGAGGGTTGTAATGATTACAATGGTGCCTGACACACAAATTGAGGGGAACTCAATTTCTTCTGTCTCCATAAAAGTGAAAGCTGTTTTCCTAATGGTTTGTATTTATTAATCACATTTGGTTAAGCACTAAATATTTTATATGTACATGTATATTTTAATACATGTGCTTTATTTAATATACATTCAATGCTCATAATTTTTGAAGCTGAGGCACTATCATCATCCTCTATTAATAAATTAGAACAGACACTTCTAAATAGTTGATTCTAATCCATTAAGAAAAACCTGAACACATACCCAAAATATATTGTGTACACTTTATTTAGTGAGGGGGAGGGGAAGGTAGCAAAAAAGAAAAATAAAGTTCTATTTTTTACCTATGAAAAAATGTTTATCTTATACATCCCTATTTTGTAGATCACTGGATTAGGTAACTTTGGAGGCTTAAGTAAACTAGTAGAAGTTCCAAGGTGGTTCTCAAAAAGAACTTTTTTGCTGTGTCGGCCATCCTTGTGAGATTTGACTATGGAGAGGATAAATTCTTGTACCAATACTCCTTATGTTCTTCACAGCAAATCTTGACATTATTTAAATAAAATCTACTTTATACATGAAAATCAAGCTAATTCTGGCATTACCCTATTTTTAGAAAGCAGGGCAAGTGGGACAAAAAAATTTCCATCACCCCAAAAAGCAACTCTTTCAAATTAGCAGTCATGCCCCATTTCTCCCCCAAACCTTTTGTCTACATAGGTTTGCCTATTTTGGATGGTTTAATAAATGGTAGTCAAACACTATGGTATTTTACATGTCTAGTTTATTTCACTTAGTATGTTTTCAAGGTTCATCCTGCTTGTAGCATGTATATAAGTACTTCATTCTCTTTTATTGCCAAACTGCCGTTTGTATGGCTGAAGGACATCTTATTTACCCATTTATGAGTGGATGGATGTTTGAGTTGTTTCCATTTTTTGGTTATTATGAAAATAACCAAATATTATGAAA